ATATTCTGATTATATTTTTCAAAAGTGATTATTTTGTCTTTTTCTAGAAACTGTGCCAACTCATCATTTTGCACATTTTACATAGAAGCAGAGGTTTTGTTTGTTGATTTTGCTTGAGGATTAAGCAATACACTTATAGCAAATGATCAAATATTAATGGTGGATTTCTGGGTCGTACTATTCACTGTTTCATAATCAGATGGAAATAACTTTCACAAAAAAAAACATTGTTTGGTTTGCCAGGGGTGTTATCTTTAACCATCGTTCTCACTCATTCTGTTCTTGGGAAAGACAAAATACACAAACATTATTTTGTTAATCACTGTTACCACAACAACCTGTTATTACTTTTTAACTTTTTGAGAAATATTTGGGGGGGGTGAAATAAAAAAAAAAATACTTAAACAATTATTTGGCAAAAATTACACGGTGCTTCTAAAAGTGTAGGAACTTTATATTCTAAGGTCTAGAGAGTTTAGGATTCAGAATTAATAATTTTAAAGTTTGTATTAATATGGGAATTTCTCATCTTATGTTACTTTCCGTTGCCGTTAAAGAATTACGTAGTTTCAAATTAAAACTTTGCTTGTTGACATTTGGCCCCATTGCATGAAGAGCAACAGGCGGTGTATAAACTTTGTGGATCTCCTTGTATAGAGCCCAATCTACTCTGGTATTTAACCCATAGCAGGGAGGAGAAATAGATTTATACATTTCCTAAGTGCATTTCTGATATGAGCGCAGATTGTTTTACTGGATTCTAATTAAAGAAGATGTACACCTTAACGTGGATTGAAGCTTTATCAGGAAAATAATACAGAACGATACTTTGATAATCTAGGCCAGACAGATGATAAAAGAAGAAGCATGTCAATTCAAGCACCAACATCCTTTGCAGGAATAAAAAAAACTTTGTTTAAGTTCCCCATGAGAAAATATATACGTTAGCAGATATAGACACCGAAAAGTCGCAATGCGTCATCTACATTTATTAAAAAAAAGAATAAATAAATCTTGTCTTGCTATAAGGACATCCGTAATCGAATAAATAAATACACCCATATATATATATATATATATATATATATATATATATATATATATATATATATATATATATATATGTGTGTGTGTGTGTGTGTGTGTGTGTGTGTATATATATATATATGGACATTATTCATTCAAGTTCTCGAATTATTGTTTGGGAAGCGGTCCAAAATAGATTACGAAAAATACCAAAATTTCCTTTCAAATAATTTTTATTTTCTCAAGTACTTTCAGTCCCATCTGAGACCATGTTCAGGGGGTTAAATTGTCGATGTATATACGTATTTTGTAAAATTCAAAATAGTTTTACTGTTCCTTTTTATTACGCTTTTATCGTTCTATATGACTTTCAAATTCACGAGGGTTTTTCTTCCTGCAAGGGAGGTAATGTTTTGTAGTTTCGCATCTATTTATTATTACTATTATTTCATTGACACACACACACACACACACACACACACACACACACACACACATATATATATATATATATATATATATATATATATATATATATTTTTGCTCAACAATCATTTATAAAGATTATTGCGATGTTCATAGTTGACATTATATTTGCTTTTAATTATCTTATATAGAGAGCTTTTTGGCTTATTATTTTGCTATATTATAGATGTATTTTCTACTAATATCGGTCTAAACTGTGAATGTGGACATGATTTTTAAATCCTTTATCTGCTGCAAAATTGCACGATGCTCATCCAAGTGAGATGTAAGCCTTCTTCTGCCAAGATTTCGTGGAATTAAAAGGATTAAAAGAAAGAATAGACATACTGTGTCTAAATTATTTAACAAAACATGTTTGAATGGTAATATGCTGCCGAAATACACACACACACACACACACACACACACACACACACACACACACACACACATATATATATATATATATATATATATATATATATATATTTATATATGGATAGATATGTACAACAAAATGTATATTTGGGCAGTAATCTTTCATTTAAACATGTTTCAGCGAATATGAGATACCAGGAGAATTTTTAATTTTTCTAATAAGTACGACAAAGTAGACACTATGGATAATTATTACTCTGCCTTAGTCCCCATCAAACAAATAAAAATGAAAGAATATTAGAAAAAAAACTAATTAAAATATTAAAATTTTCCTTGGCTGTCATTTCGTCAAAGTCATTTTGTTACAACACTTGTGGTGTCTTATCAAGTGATGGTGTTGAATTTAGAATAAACTCTTTATACACAAATCATGTGTGTGTGCGCACGCGCATATCGACATCTCTGTATCCTGATTAGTAGAGACATGGTAACGATAATTTTAATTTACCTTCTCTTCATAAACATTCAGCATTCATCACCGAATATCCAATGCCACTGTCGGTTGAAATAAAATCTTTATCTTAAAACTATTTTCCAGGAAAAACAGGTATTCCAAGTCAATTAGCTGTTATCACTCTTTCTAGTATTGGTGCTAATTTCCTTCGCAGTCTTTTGTTTGAAGTTCTGTGGCCGCTAAAATATTGACTATTTAATCTGTTTCCCTTCGTGTTATCTGTGCTATATATTTTAGCTGATACTGTTGTTGAAATTCCTCAAGTTATGTGTTATTTGTCATTTGATACAGTACTTTCATATTCTGTAACGATATTCCCCAAGGTTCGAAGAAGAATGTTCTTCGTCAAAACACGGATGTTTCTTTCGCCCAAAGTAATTTTTAATCATTTATTTGAGAACGCACTACTATACAGCTAACACTTAAAGTTAAGGCCCAGTTAGACCGGAAGTATCAGTTTTACCTTCTGTTAACCTCGAGGAGTATCTGAACCATCTTCATCTTCTAAGCAACTTATTCTTGTTGACTAATTTTTGTCTGCAAATTCCATTCGTTTGGTTGGCTATAATATGGTTACAAACAATATACCTACGACGGCATTAGAATAATACGTACATCTATATAACCGTGAACATTATTAGTTTATGTTTCGAGGTTCATAATTATTGATGGATAAATTATTACAGTTATCTATGGAATATTCTACGATGAAAAATAATTCAAATTTAGAATTTAGAATCAAGACAATATTCTAATCAATCGAAAATATAAAAATCAAGTTAAATAAAATCGTATTTTATAAACGAACATAGGATAAACGTTTAAAATTGAATTGATTTTTAATTCAAATTGCTAAAGCATTCCAAACATTTTCAAATGTTTAGTCTGTTGTGGGCGTATGGTCGAGTATTTAAGCGAAAACCACGTCTCCTGGTAATTTATCCTACAAAAATGGCGTATTCGAAATATGAACCCGGTTAATAAATGACATAATAAAAAAAAAAATATATATATATATATATATATATATATATATATATATATATATATATATATATATATATATGCATGTATATATGTATGCATAAACGATAAGTATGTTTAAGTGCAAAGGTATACGTAAACAATAGAAAACAATGAACACGAATGAGGAAAACGTTTAAACAAGTGAGGGAATTTGTGTAGAAGTCCTAAAGAAAGTTGTTACCTGGAAGAAAATGAAGGGAAATGAGCTGGCATGCGTGTGCGCTTTTCTCCGCGTTCAACCTAGATCTTATCGTTCCTGGGTGAAATAGGAAATAGCGTGACAGAGAATGTCATTACCAATTTATAGACTTAGGGAGCGTCACCTAGATGCGTTTTCTTTAGGAAAGTAAGTTGGGTAACTCCACAAGCCTATTGAATAAGATTCTTCTCCATTTACAAACCACTTATGTTCGTTATATGCTCACCAAAGCGCAGGATCCTCTCTTCATGATATTTCCCCGCCAGTAACAGAGGCGTAGATTGAAGGTGAAGTAAAAGTCAGAATTTCTAAATTGTAGTTAGGTTTGAAAGTTGAAATATCGCAAATGATGATACCCTTACCATTATTTCAATACCATTTGTGATCTTTGGTGGAAGAAACTGAAGCTAGTCTTGACAGTAAGTATTAGTGACTGATGACTCTAATTAATTTATTTGTAGAAATGAAATGAAAGGAATTACATTAAATGCTTCTATTTCTCCAAACTCAATAAAATACCCAACTATAGTCGTCTCAGTTCGTTTCTCAATGAGCTTAGGCTTATCAAGTCATAAGATCTTGTTTTCTTCATGTTCACTAATTTTATTTTCTAGTATTTTTAAAAATAAAAATATAAGGTTATCATTTTACTATTTATCCGTACCGCACAGATGTAGTCTAATGCTCAAAGTAGTATTAAGAAGAATAACTGTACAAGTGTAGACAATCGAAATGCGTTCAATCCTTAATAAATATATACAAATATTTAAGTAAATATTCTGTTTATAATAAACAATATTAACAACATTTACTAGCCAGAATGTCAGAGAAATTTCCTAAAAAATATGTGTCCTCCGACAGAAATCGAACCTGTATCCTACACGGAACCGTCATATAGCTTGACGTGCTATACCATTAAGCTACAGAGGATGCGTCTGTTTAGAAACTTTGTCTAGGAACAGTAATTTGATTTTGTTAACAAAACACTTCCTCAAATCTTTAAAAAATTGCAGTAAAATAAAATAAGAATTGTCGTGAAAATAAATTTGCATACTATTATGCTATGGTTAAACCATTAAAAAAATAAGCATAGGAAACGCTGGTCGTAATGAAATTGGAGAAGTACAATTTATAGGTTTTGATTACTAAACAAGGGATGCGTATTATGCTTGAGTAGAAACTTTTTCTCACACCTTCAGCACAATTTTAGGTGTGCGTATAATGTATTAAGGTGTATTATACATGAGGAATTACGGTAATATGAAATGAAAGAATAACATTATTGACACAATGGAAAACCAAGTAGAAAGAATAGATGATAGGAAATAAAAATAATACGAAACAAATGAATAAAGAAGGGAAAACAATAGTGGGAAAAGGAAAAATGAACGGTTAAGTAATAAACAAAGAGATGCATAAAGAAAGGAAGAAATTGAAAGCGAAGAAAGAAATATAAATATTAAAGAAAGATAAAGAAATCATAAATAAAAAGAAATGAATGAAATGTGAAGACGAAAGAACGAAAAAAGAAAGAAATGAAGGAGGAATTGAAGAGAAGATAAAAGTAACGAGAAGAAAGAAAGAAAAAAGAAAGAAAGAAAAATGAAAAAAGTATATGGGAATAGAAAGTGAAAAAGAAAGTAAGAGAAAAAGGAAGAAAGGGATAAGAAAGCAATAAGCAAGGAGGTGGAGGAGAAATGAAGGAATAAATAAAAAAGAAGGAAAAGGATATGAAAGAAATAAATGAAGAAGCAGTTGATATAAATAGGAATAAGAAAGAAAGAAAGAAAGAAAGAAAGAAAGAAAGAAAGAAAGAAAGAAAGAAAAATAAAGAAAGAAAGAATATAGTACGAAAGAAAAATAAGAAATTATATGACAAGAATGAAACAAGGTTAAACGAAGGCAAAGTAAAAGAAAAGAAAAAAAAGGGGTGACTGTATGGAATTGGAAAGGAAAGAAAAAAGGCAAATAGGAAAATGAACGAAAATCAATTAACGCAAATGAAAGAAAACGAACGATAATGTCGCATGTAATGAGAAAAAGAATAAAAATGTAGAACAAAGAAATGATGAAAGGATAATGCCAAATACAGAAATGAAAATAAACAAATAAAATAGGGAAGAACAAATGAAGCCAAATCAATTTTATCAATAAAAACGGTGTGAACATCAGACAGACGTGACGGAAAAGAGTGTTTTCTTTTATTAGGAAAATATCTCACACAAATTAAATCGACATCTTGGACAATAAAAGTAAATGTAAAGAGAAAAGTAAACACCAGGAGGATATTCGGAATGGAAAAAAAAAACTAAATAAATAATTTAGGAAAATATACAAGAAACTAAATGAAAAAAGCAAATGAAATTACGAATCCATCCAAATTAGGAAAAATTGGGAAAAAATAAGTGAATTAAAATAAATTAATTAAGTTTTAAGAATGGTACAAAAAAAAAAAAACAAAACGAAGAAAAGATAAGAGAAACTCCTTCCATTTTTTTTTTTTTTTTTACATCTGTATGTTTCTTTTTTATTATTGTTGGAAATATTTATTAAATCCTATGTTTATTTGCTACGAGAACAACTACGTTTTATTACAATATATTAATGTCTTCTTAGAAGAAAAATTAACATTTTTCCAGTTGCACCTACTGTGCTTATATATTTCCGTGTATAATATCAATATTGGCTGGAGATTTGAGAGCACATAAGATTAACATTCAAAAACTGGTATTCAAAAATGATATTATCGGTTATGTTATAGAAAATCGATAGAAGCAAAATCTCAGGATAATACATTTATGATGTTTGATAACATAGGATAAAACATGCTATTTTATTTGATATCTATTTTCTTTTACATTATTCGGACTATTGTCCTCATCTTTGTGACCAAATTTATTACAACGCTCCGGCCTTCTTCAGTTGGTTGGAATGAGAGAACTGAACTCTTTATTTCGCTCACTCGGGTAGACTGTTCTAGTTCCACGTGCCATGATTAATGGATGTCAGTTATCAGTTATGTCCTGTTAATTTCCCTCTTGAATTTCTCTACTGCCCTGAGGACACTTGGCTCAGTTCATAAAGGTGTTAGTTAGATCCAGTGACAGGACCCAAAGAGTGTGAGTTCAATACCCGGCTAAGGCAGTGGAATTTGATTTTTTGATATCATTGCATGAAACATGTTATTTTAATGCTTTAATAATTCTTGAAAATTTAAAGTTTCTTTTCTGTGATTTGCAGTGCATTTTGAGAATGTTCTCTTTGTTTCGTTCCAAAATTATATAATGACCTTTTCTCAAAATATAAATACATTCTTTGTAGTTTTCAGATAAACCTTGCAGTTATTACCTAGTTGAAGAGAAAATTAACACCCAGGAGCGAAATCACAACCAAATAAGAGTAATATGGCTAATCGATTTACTAATAATTATTTCAACAACTTTACTAACCCTTGTTGGTCTTGGCACAATTCTGGAGACTCAGAGATCTGGGGTGACTACAAATATTAATATTCTGTTAGAATGGCTCCCACAGCAAGGAATCTATAATCATTGAGTAATTTAAAAGAAAGTACATTCTTTAAAAGATTAATGCAGATAGCAAATTGCAACAAATTCGATTTCTTTGAAATTTCACAGCTTAATAACTCATTTGCTGCAAACATGGGAAATATCGAAAGTTTTAAATTTTCTATTTCAAAACCTTCAATTAAAAATCAAATTAAGTGAGGCAAATGCAGGCTATTTTTCTCAACATAAAAAGCTTTCTCAGGGAGCCACCTAATTTTAACGATGTTATTATCAAATTTGGTGAGATGTCAATTCAGTTGCTGAAAAACATCGGGAAACATCATTTGTAGTGGCAGCAGAAGTAATTGTATTTGTTCCCAAGCACCGACAGCTAGAGCAGTAATAATTCTTCCGTTTGAGACAAGAAACAGCAGCAGGAGCATTTGACAGAGAAACAGTGTGAATACATCGACGATCTTTTGTCTTGAAAGTCTTTCGAATTAATTAGGATTTAAATTGTGATGTCGTCTTGGTTACAAAGATCTGAAAATATTTTCATTTTCCAAAATTTTATTAATGTTCAATGTTGCCAGGAAGTGATTTGAAAATTGAAACCTTTTTCTCATCATTGTACTGAGGATCGAAATATAATCGCAAAAAAATTTTAATTGATTTGAGTTTTTAATGTTTGAAGTGTGCAAAGTCTGTTTTGATTATTGGATAATATTTTGCACCCATTTATATATATTTTTATCCGACAATATAATTAGTTTTATTAATATAAACTTTATTTTTAGTGGGGAAACATATTTGAGTTGAGATCTGATCGATTGTTTGATTTTATTAAACAGTGTAATTAATAACAACCGGCCAAGATGAAAAAGTCCTACAAAATAAAAGGAAAGCCGTTTGTATGGCTGAAATCAACGTGGCCTTCGGAGCCGAAATAATAGTGGAATGTTTCGGCTATAGAAACGGTTTCTCTTATAGAAAAGCGGCTGCAGATTCGAACTTCTCAATGTAGGACAGTTTTTATTAGCACGGAAGATCCGACTGGAATTCCAACTCGGCTCTCCGATTCCTCAATCGAAATCGTCATATAATGTTAGCAACGGGGAATATATGGAGATTTACAGTTATATTACACCACGGACGACAAATCTTCGCGTAAAATATGATAAATTAATGTATCCGCAATTTCGTACAATTTAACTTTGGTTCTTCCTTGGATAGTTTATAAAATTCATAACATTGGGATACATATTACATTTCGAACACATTAATGTTATATTAACATTTCTTTGTCTATTCTACAAGTCTTTAAGTAAAATAAGGCGTAACGACAAACATAAGACATAACATCTCTGATGATATTCTATTAATAAGAAAACCGGAATAAAATTTATGTCCAGGTCGGTGATTGAATACATATCAGTTTGTGGAAAGTGACGTTTATTTAATTCAGAACACATGCCAAATGTAAACTAACATTTCTGGACACTAGGTGAATTTTAACGAATAGCTTAACGGAAGGTTGCGTACTTTATCAAAAGTAATTTACAAGTTCACACTTCGGGTCAGAAGAACTTTGCCTTCCTGAACAGTTTTATCATCTATTCAATAATAATTTGTGGTGCATGTTGACATGAATAATTTCAGTTATTTTTGCAGACCTCGGATTGATTGGAAAATTATTGAAAGGATTCCTCGTAGCACATACCTTATGCAATTAGAGAGGAACCAGGCTGAAGAGGAAAAATCTGTCACTGGAACAAATTCTTCCACAAACGAAGAAACACTAGGTCACCAAACCCGGTTTATTGCCAACTTTGGACCAAGTGACTCAATACCAAATCGATTAATAAAAATAAACGAACGAAATGGAGTCGCGAAGAGTATCGACAAATCATGAAATCCTTCTTCACTGCACTCGAAAACCCAGCAAAGAACACCACTAATCAAACATACCAAATATGGAGAAGTATGGTGGGAAATGATATAAGACGTAACCTCAATCCAAACATGCTTGCCAATGTCCGTAGGGACATCATGCGAAACAACAGACTCTCAAAGACAGAAATAGATAAGATAAAATTAGATATAAGACAAAATACTATGACCCATCACTCAAACTCTATTCAGACGAATGTAGAAATAAGGAATGCGACAGAAGATGAGGTGGAGGCTGAAGCGAATGAAATAAGAAATAATCTCCCAGGAAATGAAATCCAAGACTCTACCTTAAACACAACCTGCAGTTCTCCAGAAAATGTACCTGGAGTCATCTTCAGTGACAATAAGTTATAATTCCTTGAAAACCACGAAGCAGAGTCATCCAAGTACCTAGCAGAGTAACTTTCATACAATTGTCAAACAGAGACCAGCTCCCCAAAATCCATATGTCGAATTCCAACAAGCACATCGCGAAAATATACAACGCTGCTCTGGAAACACTGATAACAGATAAACCACCGGGAAACATCACAGAAGCTAACAACGACATATACGCAACAGCTTTAGCAGCGACTCGGAAGCTTGGGGTCAAGACAATAAATAAAATTAACAGACAGAGAGAACCAGCTTGGAAAACAAAACTATATTAGATGAGCTCACTAGAAACCCTAATATTTCCACACGCAAGTGCAAAAAGATCAAGCGGAAATATAAGATTAAATCCCTAATTGACACTCTATCAATCAAGGAAATGCTGAAGCAGAAACTTTAGCTAAATGCACAGAGAACAAGACGATACGAAAAACGTTGGAGGTTCTATCGCCAAAATAAAATATTCCGAACGGATCTTAAGAAATTTTACAGGGAAATTAGCAAAATATCTATACATGTCGAAAGGCCACCATCGATTGATAATGTACAGATATTTTGGGAAAATATTTGGAGCATCCCAAAGGAATATAACACAAATGCAGAATGGATCCGGCGTAAAGAAGAACAAATGCTGGACATACCTCTGCTAGAATGGGAAAATATATCCACAGATGATGTTAGGCAAGCTCTAAGGAAACCCCAAAAATGGAAATCCCCAGGAAATGACCAGGTGCCCAATTTCTGGCTTTATCATCTCTCATCTATCCATGAAATTCTTGCAAAAAAATTACCAACGCTTGTAAAAAATACCAATAAAATCCCGGAATGGATTACTGAAGGTATTACATATCTCATACCAAAAACAACTGAAACAGACGACCAGAAAAATTATAGACCGATAACATGTCTCTCCACAACGTATAAGTTGATCACGTCTGTACTGACGAACCGTACTTATTCCTTTTCCAAAACAAACATCATTCTTTCGCTGGAACAGAAGGGATGCAGAAGAGGTTCATTTGGCGGCAAAGATCAACTACTGATAAATAAAATTATGGAAATTTGCAGGAGACGACGTAGAAATCTTAGCGCATCGTGGATTGATTATCATAAAGCCTTTGATAGTGTTCCACATTCTTGGATCCATAAGACTTTGGAAATGTACAAAGTCTCCCCTGTGGTATTAAATTTCCTGGAGCATAGCATGGGAATGTGGTGCACCTAACTATACCTTAGTCACACCGGGGGCACTGCCATATCCAACCGTCTAAATATCCGACGTGGAATCTTTCAAGGATACTCTCTGTCACACCTTCTGTTTTGTTTATCCTTAAT